ATAAATGATAATGATAATTGACACATAACAACATTAATTAGACATGTGATACTGAATAATTGAATAAAATGAAAAACAAATTTATTTTGATATAACAAGTTAATATAACAGATAAATAGAAATAGTATGTATAACAGACAAACAGAAATAGTTTCTTAATGAAATTACACTTTTGTTTTTCAATGAAGTTAATTTCGTATTGTTATCTTGCGCAAGACTAAATTAGAATATAATTAAGGATCATAAATGTGTATTTTTAAATATCTTCGTTATAAATAAATACGTATAATTTGAACAATGAATACCGATATACCATTTAGCCAGTCATCTGTAATCTATATTTGACCAGAATTTTATCTAAACATGATAAAAATAAATTGTTTACTCCGTTGCGACCTTCGTGTTCAAAAAAGAAACGAATTTGTAAGACGATTGTATTTTGTATTTTGCATTTCAGTAAATAATGAAAGATTGAAAATATTTTATATTTTATATTTAAAACGCTAAGATTAATAATCAATCTTACTGTTTAAATACAAAATAGGGTAGAGCGGGGTGTTGTGACACTCTCTCTTTTTTTCTTTAAATTATTGTAAATCTTTACACAATTATGATAGACTAATGATAAATGGATAGACAAATGCTTTAAAATGTTGCATGTTTATCTGGCTCAATAATTAAATACTTATAAATCTTTAATATATCTCGTAAATAAGAAAAAAATTACGTTACAATGCAAAATGGTTCAATATGCCACATTTAAGGGGCATGTTGAGCATCCTCGAAGGATAAGTTGAGTCATGAAGATAACCGTTTAATGAAATTATATTATTAAAAATGAAAAGGTTATATATATGTATTAATCAAACTTATATTATTTTCATCTTAACCCTCAGTACCCACACAAGAGATTAGCGTAATCAGCGACGAGATACTATTAAAGACCGTCAATCTTGAGCAAATTTTCAGCGGTATAAAAAGGGCCCGGGGGTAATTAAAGAATGCTGATATTATTGACAATTAATATAAATGCTATTATTAACATAAATATTTGGCTCATACATTATTAAATTCATGATTTTTTATTACATAAATGTTCCATGAATATGCATATTTGTAAAGCTATAATATTCTATATATTGCAGAAAAATTACAATTTTTTGTCTGCAGTTATCATCTCTGTTGATAATCAAACTTTGATGGTAGCATTGAAATCACAATTGTAAAGAAAAATCGAGTATTGTTGAGTTCTAAATGGATAAATATGTCCACTAAATTAATAAATCATAAAATTAGTACAATATTTTCAGTTTTTTACTCTTAATTATTCTCAATATTCACAAAAACGCCAACTTTCGTAAAGATGTCTTTAATAGTATCTCATCGATGGCGATAACCTTCCCCCCCCCCC